GTTGTGACAGGCACTTCTCTCAAAGGTCGTTCTGTGAGCGTCTTCTTGTTCTTTCCAGGTGGGATGCAAGCGGTGGGGGGGCCTTTGGCACCAAAGGGGAGACGAGGAAGGTGAGTATTCTCCTGCCAGTCTGAATCAGATGTTAATTCTGGTGGGATGTATCCTTGGTGAATCTAAGCACATCCCTTGGCATTTGGGTTTTTTTCCTGGGAGGTTCACAACCTGAGAAGCATCAGCAGAGTAGGAAGGAGGTCCCTGCAGTCAGAGGTCAGTGTAAAGGAAGCTGAGAGGGGAGCTTTGGTGAGAATGTTGCCCTCTGAGGGGATCCGTCAGTGTGTGCCTTCCCTGGGGGATTTCTTTGCAGTGGCCGTGCCTGTTGCCAGGGGAGCAGAGCCACAGGCCCAGGAGCCGAGCGACAAGGTCAGGTGCTCTTGTGCTGGCCTGGTGGGCAAGGGCAGGGGATTGCAGGGCTCAGCAATGAAGCATTTCCCTCTTCTCTTTGGAGGGAATGTTGCACTCTGAGGGCATCCATCAGTTTGTGCCTTTGCCTCTGTGATGCTGAAAAACCCAGTCCGAAGAACTGCTCAGAGACTTTGGATCTTTGAGCAGCAAAGGGATTTATTGCCGACGTTGGCAGCGAGCGTGGTTCGCACCACAGAGAACTTGCTCGAGAGTTTCACACAATATTGGGGTTGTATACAATTTCCATATGTGATTAAATATGATAAATCATACTCATCTGATCACAACATCTGTCTATGCATATTAATAATGGGCAAAGCTCGGGCGGAGCTCAGGTGGAGCTTCTCTTGGCCCTCAGTTCTGGGAGGGGTTTAGGTGAGTCTGGGGTCTCTGCTCCTCTCCATCAGTCCCCAGTGTCCCCATCCTGGTCCCTCATGTTCCCACTCCATTCCTGGTGTTCCCATTCCCGGTGTTCCTATTCCCAGTGTTCCCATCCCATTCCTGATGTCCCCATTCCCAGTCCCTGGTGTCTCCAACCTGCTGCTGATGTCCCCGTTCCCTTTCCTGGTGTTGCCATCCCAGTTGCTGCTGTCCCCAGGCTGCTCCCAGTGTCCCTAGCGTGGTCCTCCAGGTCCCCATTCCCATTTCTGGTGTCCCCATTCCCATTCCTGGTGTCCCCATTCCCATTCCTAGAGTTCCCAACCCAGTTCTGTTTTCCCCATTCCCATTCCTGGTGTCCCCATTCCCATTCCTGATGTTCCCATCCCAGCTCTGTTTTCCACATTCCCATCTCCGTGTGTCCCCATTCCCAGTTCCTGCTGTCCCCAACCTGCTCCCAATGTCTTCATTACTATTCCTGGTGTCTCCATCCCATTCCTGATGACCCCAGCCTGTTCCAGTGTCCCCAACTTTCTCCTGGTCATCCCATCCTGCTCCTGGTGTCCCCATTCCCCATTGTCACCTGGTATTCCCATTTCCATTCCTGATGTCTGCAACCTACTCCTAGTGTCCCCATCCCAGTCCCCAATGTCCCCATCCCAGTCCCGACGTCCCCATTCCAAATCCTGGTGTTCTCAACCTGCTCCCAGTGTCCCCATCCCTGTTCCCAATGTCCCCATCCCAGTCCCCCCTGTCCCCATTCCTATTCCTGGTTCCCACAGAGGAACTACCGGATGCCGGAGGAGGGAGCCAGGATTTATTGCCCAAAGCAGGAGATTTTCACACCCAAATTAAAGCCTCAGGAATAATTGTGGTCCTGGATTTCACACGGGAAAAAGCAGGAAGTTGATCCATTGGGAAGAGCCGCAGGGGGGCCGGGGTGGGTGGGAGCAGCGGGATGAGCTCTGCCAGCAGCTCCTGCCTTTCCACAGGGAGAGGGAAGGGGCAGATCCAGCTCCAGGATCGCTCAGGCCGTGATTCCTGCTGGGATGAGAGCGGGGAAAGGAGTCACCATGTCCCTGTTCCCATCCCAAGGGATGGAGCCGGCTGTGAAGCCCAGGGAGAGTAGGAACTACTCCGGAATCCCACCTGATCCTACTCCGTCCATCCTATCCCAATCCCACTCCATCCATCCCACGCCAATCCCACTCCAGAATCCAGCCCTGATCCCAGTCCACAATTCCACCTGACCCCACTCTGGAATCCTGCCCTGAGCTGCAATCCCCTTCCAATCCCACTCCAGCCATTAGGCCCCCATTCCCCTCTGGAATCCCGGCATCCATCCTGGGATCCCTGCACAGAGGATCTGGATCCACACACGCTGCTGGGACTCACTGGTGGGCGCGGGGTCGTATCCATTCCCCTCCCTCTTCCCTATGGAAAGAAAGTGGGATCAGCACCCGTGGCACAGGATCCCCGGAATGCTGCCGGGCGGATCCGTGCCCCTTGCCGACCCCCATCCCGGGAGTTACCGGATCGGAGCTTCCAGACACCGACTGCCACGAGGCCGATGATGATGATGATGGCAGCGATGACGGACACAGTGTCCTAGTTAGAACAGCTGGGACCGATTCCTCACTGGATGGGTGTAGCCCAAAAGTGTGTATTCTATGGCCTTCCATGCCATTTTCCCAGGAACTGTTGTCGGGGGGGGAGGGGGCCTGCGAGGTGGGGGGGGTGTCCCTGTCCTCATACCCTTTTATGGAATTCCCCGCTCTGAGAATTCTCATATCCTTTTATGGAATTCCCCGCTCTGAGGGAAGAACTAAGCATCCTTTTATGGAATTCCCCGCTCTGAGGGAATCACTGACCATTCCTGCCTGAACTGGAGAATATATAAACCTGGAGTTTCAGAACCTTTCCACCACTCGTGGGATCCAGAGGAAGGCTGCAGCTCACCACTCTCAACCAGACTGAGACCACCACCCTCAACTGGACTGCAATCACCACTTCTGACCAGACTGCAACAGCTCTCCCACCAGCAGGTTTTTTTCCCCTCTCCCTTTACTTTGGACTCGGGGGGGGGCCAAGGAAAACCACTTTGTTCATGCCCCAGGGTGCTGGGTTATACATTTGGGTTTTGTGGGTTAAAACCAATTGCTTGTCTCTATAATCAGACTTATTGGGCAAGGGGGGCCCAAGGGGGGCCCAAGGGGGGCCCAAGGGAGGCCCAAGGGGGCTGGTCCAGGGGGGGAAGGGCTGCAGGGGGCGGATCCCGGAGGAGGAAACCCGCCAAAAGCGGCGGCCCAGCCGAGGGAGGAGCCGAGCGGGAGCACAAAGAAGAGCAGCCAAAAGGTCCTGGCGGTCGCTGGGCAATGGCGGGGGGGGCGAGAGCGGTTTGGGGGCCCCCGTGAGAGCCGGGGGGGAACCCCGGTAGCCGCGGAGTGGGGAGAGCGGAGAGGGGCGATCCCGGAGCTGGGGGACCCCCGGAATGCTGGAGGGGGGGGAGCAGAGAGGGAGCGCCGGGCCCCTTAAGCGGGGGTCCCGGAGAGGGGGAAGGCCTTGGAGTGTGGAGAGGAGGGGGGGCCTTGAGGCGGGGTGGGAGCCGAGAGCGCCAAGAGGTTTGTGAGGATGGGAGCCGAGAGAGGAGGGCCGGCCGGCCCCGGGAGGCAGAGTGGGGAGAAGTGAGCCCTGGGACCCCCTGGCAACACTAAAGAGGACCCCGGAGAGTGGGAACACCCCTGAGTCACGGGACCCCCGGCAGCCCAGAGAAGGGGGACCCCCAATGCAGGCAGAAGTGCCATCAGACCAGACAGGGGGGACCCCCCTAACCCCAGAAAGCAGAGAGGGGGAACTCCTGCGAGGGGTTTTTGGGCTGATTGTTGGTGTTTTGGGGGGTTTTTATGGGCACAAGATGCCCGGTGAGTCCTAGAGCTGGACTTGGGCAGGAGGAACCCCCAAGGCAACGCGCTCACCCCTTGTTTCCCCCCTTCCCATCAGGATTTCTGCTTCCCAAAGCTTGGGCGGATGGAGGAGGAGGCTGCGAGGAAGAGGAAGATGCCTTGGGCCCCCCAGGCAGGTGAGGAGGAAGTCAGTGCCCCTTTGGGTGGGTCTTTTGTCTTTTGTGGCCGTCCTGCCGGGGTCGGAGTTGGGGGGATGTCCTTGGGCTTCCCTGTGGGCCGGAGGCAAATCCCCTGCGTGTCCTTGTTGGTTCCTGCCCCAGGCCCCGAGGTGAGGCCGGAGAGTGCGGAGGACAAATCCCCCCGGCAGAGCCTGGTGGGAGAGGCCGTTTTGAAGGGCTCCCCGGCGCAGGAAGGCAGCGGGGAGGAAAAGGGCCGGAGATGCCCCCGCAGGAGGGGCTCCAAAGCCAGCCCAGGGGGCTGTGAGGAGGAAAGAGCCAGCGTGTGCCGGGAAGGCGGCCGGAGCTTGAGGTGGAGCTGCGAGCTGGTGGTTCCTGAGCAGCCTCCCAGCAGGGAAAAGCACTTCAGGTGCTTGGAATGTGGGAAGAACTTCAGCAAGAGATGCAACCTCTTGAGGCACCAGCACATCCACACTGGGGAACGGCCCTACACGTGTGAGGAGTGTGGGAAGAGCTTCAGTGACCGCTCCACCCTCCGCAACCACCGTCGCATCCACAGTGGGGAACGGCCCTACACGTGTGGGGATTGTGGGAAGAGCTTCAAACGGAGTTCCAACCTACTCCAACACCAGATGATCCACAGTGGAGAAAGGCCCTACATGTGTGGGGAATGTGGGATGAACTTCAATCAGATCTCTGCCCTGCTCCGACACCAGATGATCCACAGTGGGAACGGCCCTACACGTGTGGGGAGTGTGGGAAGGGCTTCAGGGACAGCTCCAGCCTTTGCAAACACCGTTGCATCCACACCAGGGAATGGCCCTACAAGTGCTTGGAATGTGGGAAGAGCTTCAGCACAAGCACCAAGCTGCTCAGCCACCAGCACATCCCCACTGGGGAACAGCCCTACACGTGTAGGGAATGTGGGACAGCTCCACCCTCTACACCCACCTTCGCATCCACATCAGGGAGAGGCCTCACAAGTGTGGGGAGTGTGGGAAGAGCTTCAGGGACAGCTCTGCCTTGACCTCCCACCAACGGACCCACCGGTAAGAGAAGCCCCGAGTGCCCCGACTGCGGGAAGAGCTTCGGCCGCTGCTCCAACTCCATCAGCCATGGGAGGACCCGCGTTGGATGATCCACAGGGACCCCCGTTGGGCACAGCCCTGGTGTGCTGGTTTTAAGGTAAACCAGCAGGGGAAATGACAGCGGTGACATCACAGGGACATCGATGACATTACTGAGACATCGGTGACATCACAGGGACATTGGTGACATCACAAGGACATTGGTGACATCACGGGGACAGCAGTGACATCACAGGGACAGTGGTGACATCACCAAGGGGTTAATTTTGGTGTGAAAATCTCCTGCTTTGGGCAATAAATTCTAGCTCGCCCTCCGGCATCCGGCAGTTCCTCCCTGGGAACCAGGAATGGGAATGGGGGCAAGGGGAATGGGGATGGGGACACCTGGAATGGGAATGGGAACACCTGGAATGGGAATGGGAACATTGGGAGCAGACTGGGAACAACAGGAATGGGAATGGAGACATCAGGAACTGGGAATGGGGGCACCTGGATTGGGAATGGGGACACCGGGGAGAGGGAATGGAGACACTGGGAGCAGGTTAGGGACACCAGGAATGGGAATGGGGACACCAGGAAGTGGAATGGAGCCACCAGGAACTGGGTTGGGAACACCTGGAATGGGAATGGGAATACGTGCAGTGGGAATGGGTGTCGATGGAAGGGTATGGACAGATTGCTCCAGGATCAATATGATCAGGCAAATGTCGGATTTATTAGGAGAAGGCAGATTATATAGTGCTCATGACGCTCAGCTTCTTGTTCACACTACATTGGTTACATAAGGAAAACATGCTCTGCTGTTCACTGCTAATTGGACCACAACAGGTGGTCATAGGAGTTGAGAAAACTTTATTCACCTGCCAAAAACTCCTCCTTGGCATCTTGGCACAAGACCTGCAGCCATATTAGTGGTGCAGCATTTTTTACTGTCTGCACCCAGCCATGCTAAGGTGAAACACACAGAAATGTAAAGAAAATTGTTCACACAATTTTTGCCTTACGACAAATCCCCTTTTTTGTTCTTGAACAATTTGATTTGCATTTCTGTAATACTCCTTATTGTACCAATAACATATCAACAAACATGATTACATATAACAATAATAGTACATTAACAAACTTAACAACTTAATAACTTCAAGGTTTGTGCTCTTAAATTTTCTTAAAAGTGTTTTTCTAAATATAGGATTTATTCTTGAAAAATCTTTATTCAGTATAAAACACTTCTGGAAATGGAACTCCATTTATTTTTGTTATGTGTCTTCTGTATTTGAAGATGTTTGTGTATTTGTTGGATCAAAACACATTAATCATCATGCATTCACACACACATGCAAACATACAAACTCTCACAGTGGCCACTGTCAACCATTCACACAATCATACTTTTGAATTCCATATCACTGTGTTTTATGAGCTAAAAAGTTATAATTCTTTAGTACCTTATGATGTTAAAGCTTCTTAACCAAATAGATAAACTTTCTTTTACTAATATATAGTGAAGAATCTAAAGTTCACACAACACACTTTCTTGAATTCTAAACCTCTATAATTATGTGCTTCCTAACTTACTTATGTGCTTTAGAAATATCAAAAAATTGTGCTCATAAATTGTGCTCTCAATAAGACTGAATACTGTGCCCTTTTGGTAATTCACTGTTACCTACAACAGCAACAACATCAGCCTTGTTTTGAAGAACCAGCTTCTTTCCAGGGTTTCATTTAGGTGCAGATACTCAGAGAACACCTGTGCACAAAAAACTTAAAACATATGAAACACTTTTGCAAGTCAATAGAGGAAAACTGATATCTCTCTTTTCCCCCTTTTCTTTGTGCGAAAGTGTGTTAAAAATTCTTAAAGCACTGATTTCTTTACTAAATACTCTTATGTTAATAATTCTAAACTTATAACAGCTTTATTCTATAACAAACTCCACTATACTAATTCTATTATTTAATAATTCTGAAAAAATTCTGGGAATGTTGCTGATTTGTTCTAAACTCCAGCATTATTTTCTTCATCATCATCAGAACTTATGTCTGAATCTGAAGAAGTGTCAGTCTCCACAGACAAAAGGGGTTTTATAGCTGCAGTTGTAGCATCAGCTGAATAGGCTGCTTTCTCTTGTTGGACCATGTTTTCAGCAGCTTCTAAAAACTGGGCTGTAGTGGGACTCCTAGGTAGTGTACCCAAAACCTGTTTTGCATTTTCATTAGCATTATAATAGGCCAGCATGTTTAAGAATTTTGCTTTCATGTTATCATCTATGTCTGGATCTGAATCTATTGACTCATTTAAACGATCTACAAATTGATCGTACGGTTCCGAGGGTCCTTGCTCAATTGAAATACATGGGAGTCTTGACTTTGCATCCCTTATCATAAGCAATGACTTATAAGCCAATTCCTGACTAGTTTTTAATACCTCATTTGGAAACTGATTTTGCAAATATGCACTGTTGTACTGACCAAAACCCATGAGCATGTCAACAGAAACACCAAAGAGAGGGTGTCCTTTCTGCCTAGGTTTTGCAACTCCTGTAGCACAACGGGTACTCCATTCGGTAAAAAATTCTAGCTGTTGGTGTTATAAGTAAACCCAGGAAATTTGCTGCTCAAAGGGGTTAATAAAGTTGCTGTATTTTACTAACCACATTGTTAAGAGTCATGAGTTGACTGATTATGAAATATCTAACCACAAGTTTGTATGCTGTAGAACACAACGCAGAGTGACTCAGTATTTTGGAGCTGTTTGATTACAGGCATATTGATATGGACTAAGATGGAGGGGCAAGCCACGAGGAGTCCTATGATTAGATGACATCTCCCGATGGAAAATTCCAGGACCACGGCCTCATAGGGACTAATGACTTTAAAATCATTGGAGGAAGCCCCTCAGCAACGGCAGATGCCCGCGAGTGGAGGAGCCAACCACAGATCTGCCCGGGAAAGAGGAACCAAGCAGGGAGCAGCCCGCGAACCTCCCACCAATGGACTATGAACATGACTTGGGGGGGTGGTGTCAACAAAGGGTATAATTGTTGCTGTTTCGGTTCCCCATTTTGCGGACTGTGGTGGAGCAAGGGTCTCCCCGGCCGCCCGGCTGGCCGCTTTTGCTTGTTAGCATTAATAAACCTTTGTTTTACCTTGCAACCGAAATTATAACCTCATTCTATTGATTACAATTGGTGCCGTGACTCAGATGGAGACCCCCTGAGTGATAGAAACACTCTCTGGGGAGGGCGCCCCCGTCCCATTTTGGACGACCCTAGGAGATTCTATTATTCAGCTTCTCCATACCGACCAGTTTATTAAGGCAAACAAGCAAAAGGAACTGGGTTTCTACAGGTCTCCATAATCTCTGCATGCGGGTCCGGACAACGTCTAGCTCAAGGGTAGCTAGGATTTGTGGTGAGCTCTGATTGAGGGCGACAACCGATCAAAGGCGAGGCGGCTGTGGTTGTGGTTTGTCCGGTTGGGGAGGGTCCGCTCCAGTGTCCAGAGTGACGCTGCCAGAAAGAGCGAAGACTCATCCGAGGAGAGGTGAGTATAGCGTACCCCCTTGGCGGTTGGGAGGGGGTCCTGGGGTGTGCCTACCTGAGACGTTCTCTGAGAACGAAGTGATTGTGGACCCCTCAGTAGTGCGGTTTCTGTAGCCCACGAGGGAGCAGACCACGACCAGGGGGAAGCGTTTGTGTTTTGAGTGAGTGCGTGTGTGAGAGAAGGCACCCCAGAAGATGGACTCGGGGAAGAGCAAGGTTTCCTCACCCATGGGTGGCTGTACAGTAGAGTAGCCAGGCAGGTCCTCTGATGAGGAACAACTCCTGAGGTCTGGTGGTTCCTGGAGGGGAAAAGGACTAGGGAGTAAAATCTATATGGCGAAGAAGTGTCCTCGGGAGAAAAGACAGTCTGTACTAGGCAGCTGCAGCTCCCAGAGTGAAAGGAACCGTGTTAGGGATTTATCTACCGAAAAGGGAAGTGGAGTTGTGAGCAAGACGAAAATAGATCCTCTGGAGGAGAGAGGATGTGAAGAAAGCGGCTTTGAGGCTAGGTCGCAGGGCATTCCAGCAAACAGCCCATTAGGAATATTGTTGAGAAGTCGGAATAGTAACCCACAAACTCTCGGGAAGTCGAGGGATAAGCTGGTTTATTATTGTGTTGAAGTGTGGGGAGGTAGACAGATCGGAGATGGCGTGTATTGGCCAATTTATGGTACCTTAGAAGGCTGGATTTGTGAGATCCTGAATTATTATGTTAGCGATAAGAGACCCTATTGTCTAGAGGAAAGTCAATATGCCGTTATTTGGCTGGGAGCTAGTACACCTACCCGGCTATTTCCTCTAAAAGAAAAAGGGAAGCAAGTGGACTCTAGTAGGGATCCTGAATTTCGGAGTTCATCTCCACCTTATATTCCCCCATATAGTGGAGCTAGTAAAGTGATACCCAGTGCTCCAACAGTGTCAGAGCCCGCCATTTTACCTGAGCAAGGGCAGGAATCTGCCATTTCACTCACACAAGGGCGGGAAATTTTTATTCTACCATTAGAAGGGCGGGAATCCGCCATTTTACCTGCGCAAAGGCGGGAACCCACCATTTTGTGTCCAACGGGGCGGGAGTCCACCATTTTGCCTGAGCAAGGGCGGGAATCCGCCATTTTGCCTGCACAAGGGCTGGAGTCCGCCATTTTGTCTAAGCAAGGGAGAGAGCCTACCATTTTAACATCTACCTCTACACCTCTATCAGCCGAAAGGGCCAGTGAGTCGTTCTTAAATCATGACATGACATCGACTCATGGAAAAACTGAACACCCCCCTCTACAGTCACAGTTATACCCCCTTCGTGAGACCGCTTTGACGGGAAGACAAGGAGGGATAGGATTTGTGCGGTACCCCTTAGCTCTGGAGACGTACGAGCTTTTAAAAAGGAAATGGGGAATTTACTAGAGGACCCCATAGGGG